TAAACCTTGTAAAATAAGAGAGAATAGACATAAGTATTGTGACATAATGTGTAATAACAGCCCATAATGCAATAAATATCGATATAATAGCATGATACAAAATGGACGTATCACTAGGTCAGAGTATTTGAGAGCACCAATGCTCAGGACATGCCGAAGCTTTTGGAGATGAACAAAGCCTATGGGTTTCCAGGTATGCTTGGCTCCATTGATTGCATGCACTAGAAGTAAAAGAACTACCATGCATCATGATATGGACAAATTCAAATGACACAAGAAGGGTGCCACAATCATTCTTGAGGCCGTGGCCAATCAGGAGACATGAACCTGACATGCATGTTTTGGGATTCCTGGATCTTGCAATGACATAATGTGCCCGAGAGGTCACATTTGTTTGCAAAGTTAGCCAAATGGGTAACCACCATCGATGGAGTTTCAAGCAAATGGCCCATACAACATGGGCTACTACCTTGCAGATGGGGTATATTCGAAGTGTGCAATTTTTGTGAAGCCAATTTCAAGCCCCCAAGGTAAAAAAGAAGTCTACTTCCATAATGCTCAAGCAACTGCTAGACATGGAGAGGGCTTTTGAAATTCTACAAGCCCAATTTGCTATCATGCGAGGACCGACTAGGTTTTGGGATCAAGAGATCCTCTGCCACATTGTCACTGCATGCGTGATCATGCACAACATGATCATTGAGAATGTGCATGAGAAAATTATGGATTGCACCTTCTATGAACTCATGGACAACCGGTGCGGTCGGAGAAAGGGAAAGACTGAATCCAATGCTTTCTTCAGGTGTACCATGGCATTCGAGATTCTGATACCCACAAATATCTTTAAAAAAAATCCTCATTGAGGAGTGATGGACATTGCATGGGCAACAATGCAACTAATTTTATCTTTATGTGTTCATGTCATGTGTGATGAACTTTGTTGTTATGTGTCATGAACAATTTATGTTGAAATTGATGTTATGGATTGATGAACTATGTAATAATTGATGTTGTGGATTGATTATTTTGATGTTATGTCTGTACTATTTGTGTCTTATTTGTTACAGATTTTTTGGGATGAGTTTGATATTATTTGTTTCAATATGTATGCAATTGTAGTGTCCTATTTTAGTGCAATTGCAGTGTCCTATTTTAGGACGAGTACTAGTGTTTACTGTTGGAGAAGAATTTTTTTTCGTATGCAATAATTTATGCTCTAATAGCACCATATTACACGAAAAGTGCCTGTAGAGGCAGAGCTCCATTGAGCTCTTTAATTTTTCAGCGAACATACCTTTTCCACATCTCAAAAGAATTTGAAAAAAGTTTTCATGTGGACATATATTTGTAGTATACATGTATAAATTTTCATGAACATACATATTCATATGTGATGTACACAAAAAAGACAAATATACATACTAAAATAGGTCTTTTCTTTATCGTATTTGGATCACATTTTTCTTTTTTGTAGCATGCAAATAATCAAATTAGTTGATGAAATTTTATGCACGTTTGAAGAATATGCATATGTGTTTGTAGAATTTTTTTGACATTTTTTTTGTAAAACGAGGTCCATGCCCCATAGTACTCCATGAAGTATAGAGTGCGATTTGGTGAACGGGTACATTGAAGGACTTTATTTTGAATGATTAAAAAATTATATTTTCATGGTTTTAGAAAATAGAAAGAATCAGTGAAAACTTATACATATTCGCGACATATCTGTAAAATTTTGTTCAAAAATATTACGATTTGCAAGATGCACAGAAAAACAAATCCCGGCTCAACAATAACAAATTTTTTGCCCATTTTCACATACATAATTTAGTATACACCATGTATGAAAGTATATTGTTACGTAAATTTCTCTGAACGTGTTATATTTGTATGTGTGCATGTACAAACCTGTAGTTGAATGGTTAGGTGGACACTGCTATCTCCGACCCACCAGGGTTCAAGTCCTGGTGCTCGCGTTTATTCTGAGTTTATTTCAGGATTTCCGACAACCCACGTTCAGTGGAAGAAAATATTTTCATCGACTACGAGGCGCCTACGGTGACTTCGTAAAATCTCAAGATGATATGCCAGCTTAGAGCATCTTCAGCCGCGCCCCCAACAGGCCCCTCAGGCCACTTTTTCGGCGCCGATGCCAAAAAAAGCCCTAGTCGCGCCCCTAAGACGATGAAAAGCGCCGGTTCAACCCTTTTTTCCGCCCGGCGGCCGCAGGCCGAACCCGGCGCACTGGGGGCGATCGGGGGCTCCGGCGCAAGGGAAAAGCGCGGCCGGCCCACACCGTTAGGCGAAAAGTCAAGATTTTCTTCCCCGACCTGCCTTCCATCCCCCGCGCCCTCGGCCGCCACTAGCTATATCCCGGCGCCGCCCGCCGCCCTTCACCGCTAGATAGCCATTCCCCGCCGGACAAATAGCAGAGGTTCGCCGCGGCAGCCCCTCCAACAACTGGGCGTTTCCGGCCGCCGTTTCCGGCCGTGGAGGGGCAGTTCGGCGGGTGCACGCCCACCGGGCGCAAGGTGTTCGGTGGCCTGCCTCGGTGATGGACTCGGATGACGAGGAAGCGCTCGCCGTGCTGCTGGAGGAGGAAGCCTAGGCCGACGTCCAGGAAGAAGAGCATTTGATGGTGCTCTCCGTCCTCGCCCAGCTGCTGGCGAGCAATGAAAAGCCGCGGCGAGGTGGCTCGGCGCCGGGGCGGGTGAAAGCAAAAAACCGACATCATCTCAAAGGCTACTGCATGCTCTACTCCGACTACTTCGCCGATGCTCCACTTCACGGCGACAAAACATTTCGGCGCCGTTATCGGATGAGCCGAAAACTCTTCCTAAGGATTGTGAATTACATTCGGGAGTTCGACAACTACTTCAAGTGCAAGATGGATTGCACCGGCAAACTTGGATTCACCTCGATCCAGAAGTGCACGACAGCGATGAGGATGCTTGCATACGGAGCTCCCGGTGATTCACTCGACGACTATGGGCGCATGGCCGAGTCCACCAACATAGAGTGTTTCTACAAGTTTTGTCGGGCAGTGGTGGCAGTGTTTGGACGGCAATACTTGAGAACACCCAATGCGGAAGACACTGCTCGGATCCTAGCACAGAATGCAGCAAGATGATTTTCTGGGATGCTTGGAAGCATCGACTGCATGCATTGGAAATGGAAGAATTGCCCATTTGCTTGGCAGGGGATGTACAAAGGCGCCAAAGGCGGTTGCAGTGTGGTACTTGAGGCGGTGGCCACACAGGACCTCTGGATTTGACACTCCTTCTTTGGTATGCCAGGAACTCACAATGACATCAACGCGTTGCAGTGCTCTCCTGTCTTTGCCAAGCTTGTTGAAGGTCATTCTCCTCCGGTGAACTTCGAGATCAATTGGCGGCACTACAACAAGGGGTACTATCTAGCTGATGGCATCTATCCGAGATGGTCGAAATTTGTGAAGACGATCTCAAACTCTGTGCCAGGAGGCAAGAACGCCTGGTTTGCGAAGATTCAGGAGGCTTGCAGGAAGGATGTCGAGCGGGCATTTGGTGTGCTCCAATCTCGATTTGCTGTTGTCCGGTACCCCGCTCAGACCTGGTCAAAATATCAAATGTGGGAGATTATGACTTGCTGTGTCATCTTGCACAATATGATCATCGAGAGCGAGCAAGAAGACCCAGTGTTTGACACTGAACCATACTACAGGCAGGGTCCTCTAGCCGAAGTTGATCACCAGCCACCGACAACCTGGACTGCCTATCTCAGTACGCGTCAGGAGATTCGAGACCCATAGGTGCATCATCAACTGCAGCAAGATCTGATAGAGCATCTATGGAGGCTCAAGGGCGACGCTGGGCGCGACATGTGATGAAATATGAGCTTTTATTTGTTGAACTATATAATTTGTATTGAACTATTTGTTGTTGTACTATTTTGTTAAAGTATTTGATTTTTTTGTGATGAAATATGTGATAAAAAAAATTTATGTTGATAATTGAACGCCGAGCAACGGCGAACCACGTCGAATATGGGCCTATTCTCGCTCATATAGGTCTTTTATTCGCCGAAATGGGGCTGAAAAGTGGGCCAATATCGGCGCCTGGGGGCGAGCTGGGGGCGACGACTGGGCGCAAAACCACCCCAACACCGATTGTATCGCCGGCTCGCCCCCAGGGGGCGATTTTTATGCGTCGTGGGGGTGGGGGGCAACGGCTGGAGATGCTCTTAGTCTCTCGGAGGTGCTCATAGGAATATGAGGTGCGCATGTATATGAGCGCTTACGTCTTTACTGTGTTAAAAAAAGAGTGTAGCCATTGACCTTTTCAAAAAAAGTTAAAAAATCTATTTTTTTGTGATGCAGAAATATTTTTTTGTAAAGTCCACCATGGAGCCCGTCCTCCATTTGCTCTTTTTTTCTTGACGTGTCCATTTGCTCTTTTCGATATGGTAGAAACTATCATCCGAATCGAAATCAGGGCTTAGCAAAATATTTAAAGACAAGAAACGGTGTGTAATTATAACAGAGCTGGAGGATGTTTTCGTAAATGCTCCAAAGAACCCTTCCTGCCGGTTCCTCTCCTCCCCAGTCCCCACCTCTGAACACCGGTGAGCGCCGCCTTCACCGCCACCAGCACCAACTCACCGAATCCAGAGCTCCCGCCTGTCATCCCGCCGTCGCCCCGGCATTAGTTCCGCTGTCCTCTACCTCGTGCCTCCCCGCCCGCAGGTCACGCACGACCCCTCGTGTTTCCCCATCTGCACCGGTGACCTCGACACCCCATCTGCACCGGCCTTCGTCTCGGTATCCCTGCTGTTCTGCTCTTCACTCTCGGATACAACCCACAGGCAATATTTCATCTCCCTCATCACTACAGCCTCCGCGCCCCTGCCTTCTTTTCCTGGGTTATCATCAAAATCCTTCCACTTCTGTATATGGTTAACTACATAATTAATCTGCAAAAATCATACTCTGTATTTCAGCAATTTAGGTGAAATTTTGAGGCATGGAGGATGAAGAAAACATCGAGGAAGAACTTTTGCTGGTGGAGTCGCAACTCAATGGACTACAAGGTCATCACTATAATCATCATCCACAATTGATCCATATTCCATAAATATTTCAGTTAAATGAGTTCGTTATCTGTATCGTTTGTCCATAACAACCCATCTGTAGAATAACCACGGTAGAGCCAAGAATGAGGGGCAGGAAGTTGACATACAGCATGTCTAGTTTCCAATTGCACGCCATCTGTGTGGAAACAGGCCAGCCACACTTGCCTGTAAAACAACCCCAAATGGTCTATTAGCGTATGCCCAGGTCCCAAGGATAAGCAATGACACCTTCTTTACTTAACTGATAAATACCTATCATGAACCACATTCATACTTCTAAATGCATAGTTTTGAACATGGCAACTTATTCCATGTACGTATATGGATGCGGCTAATGTCGCCACTATTAGTGCACTTGGCCCTGGGTCCCTCTTGTCCTCTTCAATTGATGTTAAAGGGCATTTTGTTATTTTTCCAGCAAGTGGTGTTATTTCAGACATAGAATCAGATGTCACCAGCTGTCTTTTCTGGTGTTTTTTTTTCTTAATTACACCTTTAACCTGTTTGAGTGCTACTGAGCTAGTTTTCCTCTTAAAATTATTATATGCAGACAAAATCAAGACATTACTTGATCAGCAAGAAGAATTGTATGAGCGCCAAGCACAGTTGAAGGCTATGCTGGAAATATCTAAAACTTCCAGAGATGCATCAAATAGTGCCCCTTCAGTTGCTCTGGAAGATTGGTCTGGAAAGTTCTCATGGGATTCTCAGGCTGATGACACTCGATTCAATGTATTTGGTATTTCTTCCTACAGGTCAAATCAACGAGAAGTAAGTTTGTAGCAGAAATAATATATCTATTTTTAATTTTGATGTTTACTCTTTGATGAACTGCTTATTAACCCGCAAAAATTATCCAGGATATATATAGTTTTTAACACCACAAGTGACATCTTATAATAACTTTATTTTGTGAAGAATCTTACGTTTGAAATTCTTCATATACGTAAGATACTGCTTTGTAGCATGTCAATTGTTTTATCCGTTGTATGTTGCTCAATGCCCTTTGATGTCTTTTTATTTTTTATCTCCCATTTCTTGGTAGTGTTGAACCTAATGCTATATACCAGAAACTATCTCAGTATTGTTAGAATTGTGTAGTTTTTTCTTGTTTTGCATTCTTTAAGCATGCTGTCCTTACAGATAATTAACTCAATCATGAGTGGAAAAGATGTTCTGGTTATAATGGCTGCTGGTGGAGGGAAGAGTCTGTGTTATCAACTTCCAGCTGTACTTCGTGATGGAATTACACTTGTCGTCAGTCCTTTGCTTTCGCTTATTCAGGATCAGGTGTTTAAGACTTTTCTGTTCTTTTGTTGCCCTATATATGCTCGTTCTCACTCTTGAGGATTTGTTTTATTGTAGGTCATGGGACTGGCGGCTTTAGGTATACCAGCTCACATGTTGACTTCCACTACCAACAAGGAAATCGAGAAGTTCATTTATAAGGCACTTGAAAAAGGTGAAGGGGAACTGAAGATATTGTATGTGACACCTGAAAAGATATCCAAAAGTAAAAGGTTCATGTCTAAGCTTGAGAAATGCCATCATGCTGGGCGTCTTTCTCTTGTTGCAATAGATGTGAGTGATGATATTTTCTCCCTTCGTTGCCAATGCCAAAATATATGCTGTAGTCTTTTGTTTATTTTATGATTATCTAATCTGCTGGTTTCATTGAACTATACATGATTGCAACACTTTTACATTATGGACCACACGATGATCACCTTTTGACTGGCTAAAGTTGGATCTTGTGTGATACTTACAGTGCCTAAGAATTTACTATTTACTTTGTGCTGGTTAATGTCGACAATGTCTATGTTTATTCTTTTTCGAGAAAACGCGTGAGAGCGTGCGTTTCATTGCATTGTAAAGAGGGAGAGTTTGGTTACATTCCTCCTAGGAGGTTGTTTACAAAGACTGGACTAATGGACGTCCCAAGTCTGGGGGGTAATGGCTTTGAGCCATAGCGCGCCTGCATTTGCCGAAAGGGCAGCCTCTTCCTTGATCTTCGCTACGAGGATGTTCACAGATGGGCGCGCTCCGTTGAAGATGCAGTCATTGCGGTGTTTCCATATCATCCAGGGGACGAGGAGGGTCACGGTGCCGAGGCCCTTGCGCATGGGCGCAGGGGCGGAATGTCGCGCCGATTGCCACCAGTCTAGAAGCGAGGGCTCGTCGTCGGGCGGGGTGCACGGGATCCGTAGCCAGCTTAGCGTCTCATGCCAGGTTTGCCGGGCGAAGGGGCATGCAAGGATGAGGTGATGCATGGTTTCAGGCGCCTGGTCGCAGAGGGGGGGGGGCACCGTGCGGGGTGTTGCAGCCCACGGCGAGCGAGCCTATCGGCGGTCCAACACCTGTCTAGGTGGGTGAGCCAGTAGAAGAAGCGGACGCGCGGCGGCGCCCAGTTTTTCCAGGTGAGCTTCCAGGCGGCGCAGGTCGTGGAGCCGGCAAAAGTGGCCGTGTAGGCCGACTTGGCCGAGTAGACGCCATTTGCGCTCCATCTCTAGATTAGGCGATCGGGCTCGGCAGAGAGGGTCGTGTCCTCGATCCGGTGCCAAAGCTGGAGGTATTGCCCGATCTCGTGAATGCCAACCGTGCCCTGGATATCTCGTGCCCAACGGTTGTCTTCCAGCCCATCCGCAACAGTTCGGAGTTTGCGACGGCGTTTGGGGATGCATGCGTATAGGAGCGGAGTGATCTCGCGGACGGACCGTCCGGCAATCCATCGGTCCTCCCAGAAGAGGGCGTCCGTGCCGTTTCCGAGCTGCATGGTGGTGGAGGCGAAGAAGAACGCGCGCTCCTCGGCAGTGAATTGGAGGTCGAGGCCTGCCCACGCCTTGTTGGTGTCCGTGCGGCTGAACCATAGCCACCGCGTACGCAGCGAGAGGCTGGTGCGCGCGAGGTCGGGGACTCCTAGGCCACCAAGAGGGATCGGGCGGGCAACTCGCTGCCAGTTGACGTGGCAGTGCCTGCCGTTCGCCTCCGCGCGCCCGGCCCATAGGAAGCCGCGTTGGATCTTCTCGAGCGCCTTGATGGTCTTCTTGGGGGGGGGACAGAGCCAGCAGCTGGTGGATGGGGATCGCGCTGAGGATGGCTTTCACAAACGCGAGGCGCCCAGCCTTGTTCATGAGGTGCGCCTTCCAACATGGGAGCATGCCGGCTGTTTTGTCGACGACGGGCTGAAGCTGGGCTGCGGATGGTCGACGCAGCGTGAGGGGGATGCCCAGGTAGGTGATAGGCAGCTTGACGATGGGGCAGCCGAGCGAATCAACCATAGGCGCGGTCTCGTCCGCGCCGGTGCGGATCAGCGTGGCCATGCTCTTGGCGAAGTTGACCCGTAGTCTTGAGGCGCGCCCAAAAAGTTGCAGGATGCTCTTGACGGCGGTGACATCGCTTAGGGTGGGGTGACAGAAGAGAATCATGTCATCAGCGTAGAGAGAGACGGATGGCATCGGCCGCCGAGGGTGTAGGCGTTGCAGAATACCCAGCTCGGTTGCGCGGTGGAGAAGGCGTCTAAGCGTGTCGACGGCGAGTACGAAGAGCTGGGGCGAAAGGGGGTCACCTTGGCGGAACCCACATCGGTGCCAGATAGCAGGGCTCGGCTCCCCGTTAACAAGCACCCTGGTGCTTGCCGAAGAGAGAAGGATGGCAAGCCAGCCGAGGAACCTGGAGCCGAAGCCGTATCGGCGAAGGGCATCGAACAGGAATGGCCATCTGACCGAGTCGAAGGCGCGCGCCAGGTCTAGCTTCAGGAGCACGCGTGGGGCACCGAGCTGGTGCAGCAGACGAGCCGACTGGCGGACGAGGATGAAGTTGTCGTGCAGACTGCGTCCGGGGATGAAGGCATTCTGGCTTGTGCTGACGAGAGTGTTGAGCTTGGGCGCGAGGCGCAGCGACAGGACTTTGGCGAAGATCTTGGCGACCAAGTGAATGAGGCTAATGGGCCTGAAGTCGCCGAGGGCGTGGGCGTCGGCACGCTTGGGCAGCAAGGTGAGTAGCGCTTGATTGAGGCAGCTGAAGCCACGACCTCGCAATGTGTAGAGCTGGCAGAAGACGTCGACGAAGTCCTGCTGAACGGTGGGCCAGCATGCGCGTAAAAATTCAGCCGTGAAGCCGTCGGGGCCGGGGGCTTTGCGCGTGGGGAGCCGTTTGACCGCCTGCCAGATCTCCTCGGCGTCGAACGGGGCATCCAGGCAATCCCGGGGTGCCTCCTTGCCCAAAAGCGCGTCGAAGTGAGCGTAGGCAGCCGCAGCCATCTCCGAGCGGTCGGTGACTACGCTCTCACCGACAAGGAGGCTATGAATCCTGTTCTTTTGGCGCCTGTATGTGCATTGCCGATGAAAGAAAAAAGTGTTGGCATCGCCGTCCTTGGGAGTGGCGAGGCGGGCACGTTGCCGGGCAATTGTGCGCTCGAGGGAGGCGAGGCCAAGGTATGACGCCTTGATTTGCCGGCGCAGCCAATCCTCATGCGGGGATAGGGCGTGGTGGTCCTGTGCTGCATCAAGCCGGAGGAGGAGCTCTCTGGAGATTGCCAGTTTGAGCCGCACATTGCCAACTGTCTTCGAACTCCAGCTTGTGAGCATGCGCACCGTGGACTTCATGCGGAGCATGAGCTGCCTGAATGGGTCAGGGTCATGGACGGAGTGCCAGGTAGCCGTGACGATGTCCTGGAAGCCATCCAACCGGATCCAGAATTCCTCAAAGTGGAATCGCCGGTGGGTGGGTGGCATCGGGGCACAGTCAAGTAGCAAGGGGCTGTGGTCCGACACGACGGAGGCGAGGCAGCGAAGATGGCACTCCCCGTGGAGCTCTTCCCAGTCTGCCGTGCAAAGGACACGGTCAAGGTGAACGAGGGTCGGGGGTGACTGCTCGTTGGACCACGTGTACCGGCGTCCGTTGAGGTAGATCTCCTTGAGTGCGAGGTCGTCGAGGATGCGCCGGAAGCGACCCATCATGCGGTGGTTCAGGTGGCCATTGTTCTTGTCTTCTTCACGATATATGAGATTGAAGTTGCCACACACCATCCATGGTCCAGGGCAGTCCACGCGAATGTCGCGCAACTCTTGCAAGAATGCGATTTTGTCGGCGTCTAGTTGGGGCCTTTAGACCACGGTGAGCCACCAGGGCGTGCGAGCGCTCGATGGGTGAGAAACCTTGGCCGTAATGGCATTTGCCGTGAAAAGAGGATCGGTGATGGACACCTCACGGCTCTTCCAGGCAAGCATGATTCCGCCGCGAGTGCCAACCGCGGGAAGGTACATGTAGTCGTCGAATTCCGAGCCAAGGGTCTCAAGGACAGTCGACGAGCAAATCAAAGTCATCTTCATTTCCTGGAGGCAGACAATGGAGACATTTGCGGTAACAACGAGCGAACGGACGGCGGTGCGGCGAGCACGCGCGTTGAGGCCGCGCACGTTCCAAATGAGCATCTTGGGGTTGTGATCCATTGAGGAGAGGTCGACGTCGTGGCGCGCGGTGTGGCTATGCCTCGATGGGGTTGCCCGCAACCATCATGGTGATCGGCGCGATGGTGGGATCTGCGGGGAGCTCGCGATCAACCAGAGCGGCGATGGCCGACAGGACGGACAGGGGAATGGTCGCCGCGAAGAGGCCCTCGTATGCCTGCATCTCTGCTGCGGTGATCCTCTGATCAACTCCGACAATGCTGAGGGTGCGCAGAATGTGGATCTGGGCGCGACTCTCAGCTGTCGGCGGCGCGGCCGTCTTGCGGGCGGTGGACGTGGCCGATCTCCCATGCCTTGGGGTGAAGTTGGGCGGGATCCGTCGCTGGCGCCGGCCAGGGATTGGGAGGGCGGCGTCTATCTGCTTGGTTGCGGCGGCGAGGAAGTCACCCAGGGTCCAGGCCGTAGGCGCCGTGACGCGCAGTCGGGAATGGCGCATGGTGATCGGGGGAGTTGCAAATCGCGCAGGTGGGCAAGGCGAGTGGGCGGATCTTGTCATGTCGCTCGGGGTCCCATGTTGGGCCTCATGATGGGCTTCAGACTGGGCGTGGCGAAGGGCCTCGGGGCCTTGCTGGGCTAGAGCGGCGTCCAAGGTGGATTCTGTGCGCATCACGGCATGCACGGGCGCTTCTGGAGGTTCCTGGACGGCCTCGGCTGGCCCCGTGGGATTGGTTGGGTGTGCCGTGGTGGGTTCCATCTCTTGCGGTGTCTCCGTGGACCGGTCCGCAATGGGCGCGGCCTCAGCAGCCAATGGCAGCGAGAGAGCAGCAAAGCGTCCCGACAGCGGGTCCGGCGTGACCTCCAAAGGCTGGGAGTCGGACCTCGCTTGCCAGGGATTGTCTGGCTGGGCTGCAATCCAGATCCCCATGCGTGTCAGGGTGATCCACGCCTGGCACGACTGCGTCACGAGTGGGCCTTGGGGGCAGGCGGGATGTCTTGTTGCGCGGGCGAGGGGTGGGTGCCAGCGCTCTCAGACTGGCCGCGAAAGGCGCCAGCCAATGGGCGGGTGGCAACCGCTGCCAGGTCACGCGGGTCCTCCGCTGTTGGGCCACAAGTGGCAGGGTGAGGGGGCAAAGCAGCCGCAGGGGGTGCAGCTTTTGCACGTCGGGCCGCTTCTGCCATCCTTCTTTTCTTTCCACCGCGCTTTCCCCTTTTGGCAAAGCCGCGGGAACTGCGGGGGCCACCAACAGCGGGCCAGGGGTCCATCGTGCGGCCGGTGGTTTGCCTTGTCGTCGGCGGCACCGCTGCGACCGTACGGGTACGGGAGCCTGGCTAGCCAGCATCGATGGCAATGCCATCAGCGCGGGCACGGAGGTTGGACGAGTGCCAGCCCACGGAGTCGATGGCCATGCCATCCGCGCGGCCATCAGGGGCGTCGGAGGTGCGGCGGCGCTTGCGCCCGCGTCGATGGCCTCGGCCGCCCTCATTGCGGCAACCGGCGCCTCTGTCTCCTGCGCCAGGTGCACCGTCCCACGGGCCGCGATCTCCGTTGGCGGTCGGGGTAGGCCGCCCGACCGCGGCAGCGGCGGCGATCGTGATTGACACCGGGTATTGGAGGGTGCGGATGGTCGGCGGTGAGGAGCGGATGCGAGCTGGGATGGATTCCACGATCTCGAGGATGGCCGCCCGACAGATGTTTGCTAGGTCGCGGGTGCGCGCGGTCACCCGGAAGGTGGCGAGGTCAGCGCGGGAGCGCGTGCTCGGGTGAAGCCGCTCTACCCAGCAGCTGCCGCCTAGAAGGTGGCCGTGGACAGGTGCCAGGCCTGCGCCGGGATGCCACGCAGTTCCAGCTGCACGGAGTGTTCGAGCGAACCAACATCGGCGCGGGCGAGCTTGCTCCAGGGGCGTAGCGCGAGGGTGAACCCGGGTCCGCTGATGAAGTGGTCGCCGGCAAGGCGGTCCATGAGCTCGCGGGTGGTGAAGACGAGGAGGAAATCCTCCGGGTGGTAGGCGTGGACGGTGAAGTCTCCGGGGTGGAGGTCGAGGGAGGAGTACAGGACGTCCTCAACGTCGCGTGCAGCCACGGCCGGCCTATCTCCGGTGATGGACACCACCATGCCCCGGCGCAGCACCAACTCTGCTTCTTCCATCTCAACAGAGCATGAGAGAATGACGCATGTGGGAGCCTGGTCTGTGGGCAAG